ATATGAAATCGACAGTACAGCATCATATCACAGCGCTGTGTCTTTGGTGACTGCTACAGCCTGCAGAGTGTGGCAGGGCAGTAGTGGATAAAATAAACCTGCCATCTGGTGTGGAACTAGAGGTCTACAAGTTTATGTGCTACATCAAAAGTGCGGGTGGTAAAGCTAATATCCCGTGGCAAGGTGACTTCTGTACCCTCAGTTCAATGCGGGTTAGTTTTATTGTTGTCTCCTACAATGATTAATCTATGCTCTGCATGCATTCGTGTATACAGGGCTGGCCCTGGTACCTACCGTCAGCATGGAGTGCTTCAAGATCGAGGTTGAGCCGAAGTTCGGACACGAGTACAACTACGCATACGATGCTGAAGGGCCTGTGGTGTCTCAGAAGCAGAGACTGCTGTACGATCTGCGAAAGCTGTTGATTAAGCTGTCGCCTGGGGATCCCTGTATGAAGCACGTAGTGAAACAGGCCAAAATCAAGGTGTGTACAACTAGACAAGCAGAACCCACATTGTATATGTCGTTCTTCCCTTCGTGAAACGGGACGGTATCCCGGGTATGTACAGAAAAGGATACACTACATCTTATTATTTTAGTTCGGGAAGCAGGCCTGCATCCAGCCATGTGCAGATAGAGTACCTTGGGGTTCTGGCTGTTGCATGGTGTGGTTAGCAGGACCGACGTCACCTCCTGTCCGTTTGGCAAATATAAATGGTTGCACCGCGGCAAAGAGCCATGCATTCTTTTCCCGTCCAAATTTTGCCATAAAACCCAAACGATCAACATCGCATATACAAACACTTGCCTGTAACTATTGCCGTTGCAACATCCACCCACACCTGCGCACACTGCTAAGCCTGTCCCCCGTGTTCCGCCGCATTCTTTTGTATCGCTACAGCTGCGCTGTGACACCATTCTGCAGACATCCCTGTCATAGTAGAGTAAGTCATCACTCGCTACCTAGTGTCTTTGTCTGTTCAACAAACATGTAACGCCTTCGGCAATGCGTTTGGACAGTATTTGTTGTGCTGGTGTGGCTATACTATCTCATTTTGTTCCTTTGCAATGCGTTGAACAGTATGTGTTATTCTGGTGTGGCTATACTATCTCATTCTGTTCAACCAACACATAAGGCCTTGGCAATGCGTTTGAGCAGTATGTGTTGTACTGGTGTGGCTATACTATCTCTTTCTGTTCAACCAACACATAAGGCCTTGGCAATGCGTTTGAACAGTATGTGTTGTACTGGTGTGGCTATACTATCTCATTCTGTTCAACCAACATTTATCGCTGTAGGTGGACCAAGTACAGGTTGTTAAGCGCAAGGAATCGGACGCGCGATTTACATCCTCCACTCCAGGTGTGTCCTGTTGTGAGTTGGGAGGTGCACGTCTGACCATTAAATTGGACTCTGAGGAAATGTGCAGGCCATATATTTTAGCTCTATGGCACGAGTGTCTATATTTTAAAAGCGTTTGCGACTATTAAGTGGTTTTGGGAGGATTTGTATAGGGTGTATGATCTGGCTCTATGGCATGAATGCCTAGCTGGTATGTTTGATGGATTTAGACGCCGCACTGCTTTCGTATACAACTGTATGTGTTATCTTCATGCACACAGCTACTTGTTTCTTAGATGACATGGACACGTTTTCTGTACTTCGCACCTTCCTGCATCTACCATCTCCACGCATAAGTGTGTGTTGAGGAGAGCATTGCTATGCAAATGCGCCGAGAGTGGCTTTGCCCGACGTTTATCTAATACACACAGATAACTTCTTGGCTGTGGTGTGAAGTTCCCCAAACACAAAAGGAAAGTATTTTATTCTCGCGTTCTTTGCCATCAATATATACAAATGAATAGCTATTGGTTTGCGTGTCCAGCG